AGTAATCACCAAAGTCAACCATCGCAATGAAAACATTTGAAATAAGCTATCAAATGAACCTAGAGTAAAAGCCTTAGCCAGTAAGCAATAAAGACAACCATCGCAATGAAAACATTGAGATAAGCTATCAAATAAAAGCTGTTTTTTTTTAAGGATTTTAATCATTGGCATTTCTAATAGAAATGAAAACATTATTAAAATTATTTTTGCACTAATACTTAAGTGTTATCTTGCTATGAAAGTTGAATTTAGTATAATATTCGAAATTTAATTTGATGTGGATCGTTGACAACATATTTATGCCTAAAGGGGGTGCTGGTTGAGAAATGGTTTGGAAACGCTGGTTTAAACAGAGCCGGGAAAATGCCATACGGAAGTATGAATTCGCATTGGAATGGCGAAAGAAGCATCCGAATAGTTAAGCAAAGTGCACAGAAAATGGGAAAATATTCTTTAAAAAAAAGGAAAAGGGTGCTGATTGCAGGGTGATATCCATCTTCGTATATACCAGTAAATGATGGGTAATTTCCTTACAGACGTGGTAAACAAAAAACTGGAGGCAGCAGAAACGTGATTCTGCAGATGGAATTATGAAAATTATATTTATGGCGCTAGGAAGCAACAAAGAAATCTTAAAGAATATGGCAACAGGAAGAATACTTATAGACAAAATCAGGAAAATGCAACTGTAATTCTTTGGACACATAATGAGGCTTGGAGAGGTATATTGACGGCAAGGGAGATAGGGGAAGGCAGCGAGCCATTTACCTGGGGAGCTTGTGCGAATTGGTGCCAGAACGGGAGAGAAAATGCAAAGAGCCACACGTGATAGAAAGTTGATTGGATGCGGTTAACAGACGAGGAAAAAGAAACAGTCAACTATCAATCTTTATTTCCACCTTCTTTGATACCGTTCTTTCATAACTTTAACGACCTGGTGGAATATTTAATCTTGCTCAACCCTAACAGCACCAGAACTATATCTTACTTACAAACTCAAGTTTCTCTCATGAATGTTTGATGAATAATGGATAAAATGGTTATATTCAAGGACAATATACGGTTTCTATTTATAACTTAGAACAATACGATCATTATCATTATGAATTATCATAATGCAAAAAAAAAAAAAATTGTTTGAGTACGGTTTGTCTTCATAATTTATTATTATAGAATATTTGGCTATAGTCATTTAACATTACTTTCAAATTTCGGAAACAGTAAAATGTGGAGCTAACAAGTAAGAATTTACTTGATTTTGAGACTCGGTGTCTCAAAATTAACCTGCACCAAAATATGTTTGGTTTAGTTTGTTTTGTTTTACGGCATATCATCCTAAATGGATTATTTAATGCCGACAAGAATTTTATTCCTCTTAATATTTTCTTTTCAAAAATCTTTTACTGGTAATATATTTTTTTTCAAAAATGTAGTACTGGTAAGATTTTTTTTTCTAGAATGTATTGTTGGTAAGATTTTTTTCAAAAATGTAATGCTCGTATCTTTTTTAAATGATTTGCTGGTAATATGTTTTTCAAAAATGTAGTGCTGGTAAGATTTTTTCTAGAATGTATTGCTGGTAAGAATTTTTCCAAAATGTAATGGTGGTATTTTTTTTCAAAAATGTATTGCGTGCAATATTTTTTTCAAAAATGTATTGATGGTAAGCTTTTTTGTCTAGAATCTATTGTTGGTAAGATTTTTTTCAAAAATATAATGCTTGTATTTTTTTTTCAAAAATGTAATGCTGGTATTTATTTTCAAAAATGTATGGCTGGTCATATTTTTTTCAAAGATGTATTGCTGGTAAGATTTTTTTCTAGAATATATTGCTGGTCATATTTTTTCAAAAATATAATGCTGGCATTTTTTTTTAAATATGTAATGCTGGTATTTTTTTTCAAAAATGTATTGCTGGTAATATTTTTTTAAAAAAACCTAGTACTTGTAAGATGTTTTTCTAGAATGTATTGCTGGTAAGATTTTTTTCAAAAATTTAATGCTGGTACTTGTTTTCCAAAAATGTATTAATGGTAATTTTTTTTCAAAAATGTAATGCTCGTATTTTTTTTTTCAAAAATGTATTGCTGGCAATATTTTTTTTTTAAATTGTAGTACTGGTAAGATTTTTCTAGAATGTATTGATGGTAAATTTTTTTTCAAAAATGTAGTGCTGGTAACATTTTTTTAAAAAATGTAATGCTAGTAAGATTTTTTTCCAGAATGTATTGTTGGTAAGATTTTTTTCAAAATTGTAATGCTGGTACTTTTTTCAAAAATGTATTACTGGTAATATTTTTTCAAAAATGTAGTGCTGGTAAGATTTTTTTCCGAGAATGTATTGTTGGTGAGATTTAAAAAAAAATGTTGTGCTTCTATTTTTTTTTCGAAAATGTATTGCTGAAAATATTTTTTCAAAAATGTATTGTTGGTAATATTTTTGTTCAGGAATACATTGTTGGTAATATTTTCAAAAATGTATTGCTGGGATTATTTTTTCAAATATGTATTACTGGTAATATTTTTTTTTGAAAAATGTAATAGTGGTATTTTTTTCAAATATGAATTGTTAGTAATATTTTATTTCAAAATGTATTGCTGGTAATATTTTTTTCAAATATGTATTGCTGGTAATATTTTTTTTCAGAAACGTATTTCTGGTAATATTTTTTTTTTCAAAAATCTATTGCTGGTAATAATTTTTTCAAAAATATATTGCTGGTAATATTCTTTTCCAAAATGTATTGCTGGTATTAAAACCTATTTTTACACTTTCATAATGTTTTCAAAATTTTTTATAGGAAGGCGGAAAAATATGCCTATAGCTCGGACTCTAAACGGGGCTACCACGACGGGTCAGGGTAGACCAAGTAACACTAGCAATTAAGGGGTGGTTCCACGCTCCTCAAAACCTCACGATGAAAAGCCCCGCCGCTAGGTGTAATTTATTCTCATACTAAAGGACGACCTGTGTAATTCATAGAATAATATTCGTATTTCATCTCAAAATTTCTAATCAATATTCTTCTATTATTTGACATGTCCTTTCAGTATGTAGTCAATCATGGCTCTCCGCAGTTTCTATTTTTGCTTTTTAATGCAGGAGGGATTATGAATATTTCATCTATGACACGAGGAAACAACAAGGAAATCTTAAAGAAAATGGCAACTGGAAGAATACTTTAGACACAATCAGGAAAATGCAACTGAATTTCTTTGGACACATAATGATCTTGGAATGGTATACTGAAGGCAAGAAAAATAGAGGAAGGCAGCGAGCCATTTACCCGGGGAGATGTTATTTAGAGGAACAATAGAGGTATAGGAATAGCCTTAACTTCCGCGTATATAAGAAACATACATTATGAAATGAACAAAGTCCGATAATTATTTTAAGACATTTTTATGTTTATACGTTCTTTTTATAGATACAAATATTTAAGTAAATGCTCTGTTTATAATAAAGAGTATTAACGTCATTTACCGGCCTGAATGTCCGAGAAATTTTCATAGAAAATATTCGTCTTAAAATAATTGTCGGACTGTGTCCATTTCATAATGTGTGACATAAGTTGAGTACATTTGGATAGGCTTTGAGCAGATATGGATCTAAGTGAGAGATTCATGGAAGATTGTAGTTTAAAAGCAGTAAAATCGACCTTGCGAACCGAACGATCCTCGGTGGTCCAATCGGTTAAGGCACGTCAGGCTAAATGATACAGGTTCGATTCCTGTCGGAAGACGAATATTTTCTATGAAAATTTCTCGGACATTCTCGGTAAATTTTAATAATACTGTTTATTATAAACAGAGCATATACTTAAATATTTGTTCCACTATCTATTGACGAATCAATCCTTTAGCATATTGACTGCCAACTCCAAATCAGTATAGGGTCATATGGGGCCCCTATTTGTTTTTGTTTTGTTTTTATATTTTTGTAAAGCATAGTTTACATTAAATGACAGTTAAAATAATATTTTTAGAGAAAATGGCTACCAATTTTTTTTGTAATCCAAAACTCAGAAGCCATTTTCCCATTGAGTAATTATTGCTATTTTCTTGTATACATAATATCTATTTTTCAGAATTTATTTTATAATGACGTTCACGTTAACATAAATGGGGTTAAAAATTATTTCTGCAATTATTGCTAATATTATTTTTATTCCTTTTCACCGATACCAATTTTTGTATTCAACTTTGTTTTTATACCGGCTAAAATTATAGAAAATTTTTATATAAAAGATAAGGAAGCATAATATATGCTTACAAAAGTTCACGGGAAGCCCTAGAAATTTACGCACACACACACACACACACACACACACACACACACACACATATATATATATATATATATATATAGACTCCAACATTTAGTAAAGCCACGAATAATTGAATATATAGTCGTCGCCAGTATCGGGAAATATGGCCTAAACTAAAATGTCATGTCACCAAACTAATATGTGGGGACATGACAGCCAAAAATCTAAGTAGGTTATTTCCTTCTCCTACCTGATTTTCTTATTATTGTTATTATTCTGCGCCTCTTCATCTTTCTTCTTCTTCTTCTTCTTCTTCTTCTTCTTATTATTATTATTATTATTATTATTATTATTATTTGGTTTGATTTATGGTGTGTACACATTTCTTTTCTAGTTTTCTGAGACCTAAGAAGCACATCGAAAAAGAAGCAAACACACACGCACATACACACACATACACACACACATATATATATCAATATAAAGTTCTTCGTAAGGTGTACTTGTGAGAACATATTTTTGTATTTTTAGAACAAATATTTTCATAACAAAATGTGTACTGACTCAAAATGAAGAACGAATGTTGGATAGACCTCTGCAAGAGTGGGAAAATATAACCATAAATAATATTAGGCTAACTCTAACGAAATCCCAAAGATTATGAGTAGTATTTAGATTTTTAGGAGTCTTCTTATTATTGATATTCTTTTTTTTCGGATTTTTCTTCTTCAGATTCTACTTTTTCGAATTCTTCGAATGTTCTCCCTCAGCTTATTCTTCTATTTCTCTACTCCTTCTTCTTCTTCTTCTTCTTTTTCTTCTTCTTTTTCTTCTTCTTCTTCTTCTTCTTTTTCAGATTCTTCAGAGTCTTCAGAGGCTTCTTCGAATTCTTCGGATGTTCTTCCTGAGATTTTTTCGTCTTTCTCAAATTCTTCTTTTTCGAATTATTCGTATGTTCTTCCTCAGATTCTTTTTCAGATTCTTCTTTTTTGAATTCTTCGGATGCTGTTCTTCAAATTCTTCTTATTCACATTCTTATTTTTCGGATTCACAGGATTCTGCATCTTCGAAGCATTTCTTCGATTTTTTTCGGATTCATTTCAGACACTTCTTCTTCGAACTCTTCCTCCCTACTTACGATTCTTCTTCTTCATTATCTATGGATCGGTCTCTTTTATTTCTTTCTTCGCTAAAGTTGTTCTATTCACCCTTATTCATTCTTCTTCATTTGTAGTGTTTATTTCTTTCCAAGAATTTTTACTAGTCGCATTCATCACTTCTACTACTTTAGCAATTTTTTTTCTGTTATTTCCTACAAATTTTCTTCTTTTGATTTAGGCATCTATTTACCATGTTTCAATTGTTGCGGGCAGTATGCACGTCGGTTGTTTGCGTTGGGAAACACACGTTTCTCCTGGAGTACCCAATACAAAACTGGAGGACTTGCATATGTGTGTCTGCCATGATAAACTACAAAGAAACAACAAGAATCAATATATGCACAAACAAATGATAATGTATTAACAAGAAAGTTATGCAAGTAAGAAGGACATGTGTAAAAGAAAGAATGTGAACACATTTAAAGTTCAAAGCATGTGAAGTGAGTGAAAGTGCCTATGTGTGTGTGTGCATGTGTGTGTGTATTTGTTCCTACGTTTTTCAATGGAGAACGCGTTTTCCACGGGAGACTTACATGTTGACTTGTAAGCGGAAAAAGTAAGAAGAGTTTGTTATGGTGAAACACGCCTATTCTATTGATAATAAACTCTCCCACCTAATATAAGTATGAGTAGTAAGAGAAACGAGGATCAGTCGATGTCGGACAACCGGCTGAACGGTTGAACTCTCCGCCTTCGGGCGGGGAGGAACCCGAACGAGGCCATGCCGAGTTTCGTCCGGGGAGGTAGACAGACCTGATCCCGTTTATGCGGGGTCTACGGGGATTTTTTGGCCGAGCAAACGGGCTCGGGATCCCCATATTAAATTCGGCCTTGTGCCACATGTGACTGCGTGGGGCAGTTATTAAATAGCGTCGATGTCGGACGACAGTAGTCGATAGTTAGCCGAATACGAAAGTAGTCAGCGACCACAACAAGATTACTCTGCGTAATACCTATTATATCAAGTTCCTAACGTTTTGTACGTCGAACTATTTAGGACCGATTTAGTACAAATACAAGCCTCCACTGCGAAATAACTCCACAACAGAGTTAGAAAAAATATCGCAGAATATTTATAGTCCGGACAGCGTCCCCAAGTAGCGGTTTCAGGAAGGTCAGTGTAGTTAACTCCACACATTCTTCGCTATTTTCTTTTCCATTCGTCATATTTCTTCTTTATTATCTTTTTATTATTATTATTATTATTATTTATATTTTCTTGGATTTCTGGTGTTTAAACATTACTTTCCAGGTCCCGCCCAGGGACCTAAGGTTAGGGATGGCATCATGACACTTTCCAGTGACAAAAAAAAAAAAAAAAAATTACCTAGATAAAACCCTTCGTAAAGTGTGGGTTGTACTTGTCAGATCAATTATTATTATTATTATTATTATTATTTTCTTCTCCTTCTTCATCTTCTTTTTCTCTTCGCTAGTATTGTTTTCTTTTGTTTCATTTTTCTTCACAAATATTCTTGCCAACATTCATCTTTTTCACACTTTTTGACGCATTTCTCTCTTCACTTTCCCTTCTTCTTCTTCTTCTTCTTCTTCTTCTTCTTCTTCTTCTTCTTCTTCTTCCTCTTCTCCTGCTACTGCTGCTATCCATTCAAAAAAAAAAAAACTATTTAAGCAGGTTACTCAGTGTTTAACTGCGTCTCTTTTGATTAATATATATCATGTGAAAGCCAAATTCTCCAAATCTACTTTCATCATTATCGTTCCTAGACATTTCTCAGCTGTCTCATTTTGATTGTAAGTATACTTTTTCCTGGCAGTTCCTATTTTCCTTAAGACCAATACGTTATCTACTTTAGTGTCAAGCTGTCACTGTCTGCATTTGGAACACTCTTCGATAGGGCACTTCGCGTCAGCGTTAGTGAAGTGTTTCCAGAAATTTTCTTTGACACCAAATCTCAACACTTACGTCATCACACTTCCCGAGGTTCTAATGCTTCGTCCCAGTTTGAAAATTTCTCACTCAGATTACACAGAGTAAACCCACGGGCTCTGGCCGGCCATCACACGTTTCACACTCTCAATATTCTGAATGAGTAATGAGCCTTCGGTAGTGGCCAGTCCATTCTGATAGCCAACTCCAATGACCAGCTTCTTAGCCAAGCGTCAATCCGCTTCACCAAGTTGAACAATCAGTCATTTATTTTTCAAGACAACGCACGATGCCGCTCCTGCTGCTGCTCCTGCTGCTTCTGCTACTCTGACCTGTTAATGTTGAGATTTGTTAATGTAAATTCATCGGTAAAAATCATACATATACAATCTTTGTTGCTCCTAATACAAATCTATTCGTTATTCTGTGCTTTTCTTTCCAGACATCACCGTCTTCCTCCCACCCTCACCCTTTATCTAATTTCTTCTTTTCTTTCTTTTTCCTTCTTCATCTTAGGGTTCTTCGGGTACCTCGGATACTTACTCATTCTTCTTCTTCTTCTCCTCCTCCTCTTCCTCCTCCTTCTTCTTCTTCTTCTCCTCCTCCCACCTTCTTCTTCTTCTTCTTTTTCTTCTTCTTCTTCTTCCATTATTTTGTCTTCGGATTCTTGTACTTTTTTTTCCTACGGAACTGTTTCTTTTTTCGCTAAAATTATCCTACTCACGGAAATTCTTTCTTCTTCATTAGGAATCTATTTTCTACAATTTCCTTCTCGGCATTCATTCCTCCTTCTTCTTTGGAAATATTTTTCTATTGTTCCTTATCTCCTTGCATTCTTCTAATTTTGGAATCTATTTACAATCGATTCATTCTGCATTACAAGCTTACAAATCGCATGAAAAATTATTATTATTAGTAGTAGTAGTAGTAGTATTAAACTGCTTTCTTATTCAGATTTTTCCTTTATCGAATACTTCGGATATTCTTTCTCAGATTCTTATCATTATTATTATTCATATTCTTCTTCTTCTTCTTCTTCTTCTTCTTCTTCTTCTTCTTCTTCTTCAGATTCTTGTTTTTCAAATTCTTCGGATGTTCTTCCTCAGATTCGTCTTCTTCTCCTTCTTCTTCTGTAGATACTTCTTTTTTTCGAATTCTTCAGATGTTCTTCATCAGGTTTTTCTTCTTCTTCTCCATCTTCTTCTTCTTCTTCTGTAGATACTTCTTTTTTCGAATTCTTCAGATGTTCTTCTTCAGATACTTCTTCTTATTTTTTTACTTTTTCTTTTTCTTCTTCTTCTTCAGATTCTTCTTTTCCGAATTCTTCGGGCGTTAATCCTGAGATTCTTCTTCTTCTTCTTCTTCTTCTTCTTCTTCTTCTTCAGATTCTTCTTCTTCAGATTCTTCTTCTTCAGATTCTTCTTCGAATTCTTCGGATGTTCTTTCTCAGATTTTTCTTCTTTCTCAAATTCTTCTTTTTCGAATTCTTCTTCTTCTTCTTCTAATAATAATAATAATAATAATAATAATTCTCTCCTGACATTCACTTCTTATATGATTTCTGTTGTTTTTGTTTCTGTACGCTTATTCCAATCTTTTCTTCAAAGTCTTTTCCCTCTCATTACTCTCCATTTTATGTCAGCACTACTTGCTCTCCTTCTATTAATATTCCCACTCGCTTTCTACTTCATCTTCATTATCTATCGTTTTCAAATCTACTCCTTTATCTGTATATCATTCTCGTCATAGCTAAAATTTCTTGTTCAATTGAATCTTTTTGTGCAAATATATCTTTGACACTCCTCCTTCAAATCCGTCTCCTCCTACTCCTCTCCTTCCTCCTCCTCATCTCCCCCCTCCTGCTCTCACTCCACACGGTAACGCTTCATTTTTTCCTTTTAATACCTTTCTAGCGAGAATCATGCATGTTCTCCTCATCTACCTCGTCATTTTCTTCTTTTTTCTTCTTTTTCTTTTTTCTTTCTTTCTTTTTTCTTTCTTCTTCTTCTTCTTCTTCCTTTCTTTTTTATATTTATTCTTTACATCTTTTATTTCTATTTTTCTTTCAGTATCCCCCCCCCCTTTTTGTTACTGCTTTGTGAAATACTGGTCGATCAAATATTTCAGATGACCTATACATATTTAATACAGACGTACACGACGAGAAGCTTTTTACTTGCCTTGTACGTGGCCGAAAATAGCAAGTGGTACGGAGGCGTCAAGCAATATAAAAGAAACAGTATTACAGAGACACCTGAAGTAAGTGAAAGTTACCAAGAAAAATCAAAAGTTAAAACAGAAAGAAAATGTGCCAATGTGATGGCAGTAACCGTAGTCATAGCTTAGTTACATATACTTAGGCTACAGCTCCCAAGATCGAACCTTCAAGAACCATTGCGAAACTCCACCTACGTAAAGATAATCTTAATTCTCAGATTAACCATTTCCTTACAGGAAGTATTTGGCATTCATTGTCCGAACATGTATCGTTGCTGTAGGATGATATTTATAAATACCTTTACTCTCAGGGCTCAGGTCCAACGACTGTTAATGCCCTTCCTGTATTAATAGGAGTTGCTTGTTGTGTGGCAGGTTAACATCTTGATAATATTATTTTCTCTTCTGCTTTTTTATCATTTCACCCCGATCAAGGCGGGAGAGCCACTGTTACGGAGGTGTTACAGTTGAGTGAAACCGAGAGAAAAGATTGCGTGTAGGGAGAAGTGAGGAAAGCACAATAGATGAACAGGATTCAAGAAGATAGAAGATGGCGATTGACGTTGCATTGAAACGTTGGGAGATTGTAGTAGAAGCAAGAAAACGGAAGGGAATTCTAGAAGCAAGAAGTTCAAGAAAATAAACTGTTGGAGTAGAAGTGACAGTTGCATTTAGCTATTTCCACAGTAAGTGTGTGGGACCTAAATGACAATCTAGTAGCACGCTTAAAATCACACTTTTGGGGCATCAAGGGGAAAAACTCATCAGAGCAGTTGCCATGAAAATAATAGTAAAAAAGACAGAGAAAATCCACATCAGATCGGCGAGTAAGTGACTGAAGTCATGAAGCCAATTCAGTATTACAGATCGTTTGGGAGATTTTGTCGTGAACCTAGAGATTAATAGCAGGAGCACCAGATCAGATATGGCAGCAGTATTCAATGCACAGGTGCATGTTATATTTGTAAATGTGCAAGATGTAGTCTGATGTGAAAAAATTTTCTGGCATGTCACAGTGACTCAACTTTCCTTGCAGTAGATGCAGCTATTGATTCGATGTAGTCGAGCCACTTCAAGTCAGTTGAAAACATGAGGCCCAAAATCAGAGTATGTTGCTCTCCAGGAGTCTACAACCAGCCATGCTGATGGCAGACAGAAAAGTATCTCTATAGTTTAATGAGATCAGTTTTCTTTTGGCGGCGTTAAAATTTACAAACCATTTCCTGCAACAGTTAGCCACTGATTGGAGATCATCTCCATTCTTTGATTGACCCTAGAAGTCTTCAGTTATTATGATTTTTCTGCTGTGTAATAAATTCATCTTAGAATTACAGACAGGAACGGAATTTGAAGAATGCACAGAACCTTGTAAACTGGCACTGTGGAATCACAAACAGCGATACCATATAACAGAAGCCACTTCACTTGAGGACAACCAAAAGCGGCAACAGCTAAAATGGCTATTTCATGTAAGTCGATGAAAAATAATGACATAGTCAAAATTCTTATATTTTACGATAATTCAATTACACTGAAGGTTAAGAAGGAAAGCTCAAATCAATACGAGAAAGATCGAATATCCATGGAACTTGAGAAAACCTATTTTCGTGAAAAACATTTTTCAGAGAAGGAGTTTATAAATTTCAATTGAATGTTACACTGGCTTCTCAATTAATAAATGCTGAATCTTTTCTTACAAATAAACGGTTAATATTATCATTATTATCTTCTGATATGTAATGATTACATTAGTTACAACAAGACTTTTAACCATAATTATAGCGGAAATGGTGAAATTAACTGTTTCTCTGCGGGAAATATTCAAAAATCATTGACTGAAAAGTTAGTGTTTCCGTAAGTTGAAAGGTGAAAAATATTTTACAACAACCGATCAGGAAATTAGACATATCTACTTCACGGTGTTGTAATGGTTAGCGGCTCGGATTGAGGAATCGGCGAACCGGGTTCGAATTACAGTCGAGTTTATTACGATAACTTACGTACTGATACCCTGCAAAAGCATGAATCAATCTCTTCTCCCCATCGCCAGCTTTAGTTCCTGTAGCCTTGGGTGGCAAATATTCTAGGATATGGAAACTCTGAATTCAGACCATTGTAGGTTTTGTCTCTTTAGACAAAAGCTAGTAAATATCTTCGAAAAGAAATCCACTTCTACTTGGCAGAGTAAGCTCACTATCCCGGGCTGTAAAAGGACCCGGTAAGCACTGAAATAATCTGCCTTGAATGCCACAACTGCGGGGTAACTGAATGAAATTATCATGAAAACTATTAACTATTTTCGCTTTTTCTCGTATTTCTATGAGTTTCCTTCCTAGCTTTTTTTACTTTTGGCAGCATTAATTTCTTAATGAAGGTGATATACAGTTTACTAACAAAAATCTTGATCCACTTCTAGGCTCTATCATCTCAACTGATGATAGATATTTTTTGCTTTTATTTTCAGTTTTGCGGGAGTTGGCTGGAGGGAGAAGTTTTTAGCGATTTTCTCGCTTGCACAAAATGAGGCAAGTAGTCGAAAACAGTCATTTCGTGAGCTATAAAGTAAAAAATATTTCTTCGCATAAAGTAAAATTTATGTAAGTTCAATCCTAGTTGGCGGTGTTTATGTAGATTGATATGCTTATCGCTCGAGTTCAGCGTTGTTTTTTTAGACGTTTATGTTTTATCGTCTTCTGTGTTGGAAACGAATCCTTCGTAAAACGTTCAATTTTACGCATGCGCACGCATCAAAATAACCAACGGATCTTGTTTAATTCTAGATAATTTTAAACACTGCCAAAGTTTGGTATCGATAAGAGAAATCTTGTCGCTCCATTAAACACAGAACGAATTAAGCGCTGAGAATTTGATGATGGTTTTATTGGTCCTGTTTCCTTTAAAGCTAACCAATGAAGATGATTTTGATCTTCAGCAGAAAAAATCCACTGAATTGCGAGTAAATAGAAAAGTGATCGCGTTAACAAAGATTCTTTTTAATTGAGTTTTAAACACCGTTTTTTTTTTTCGTATCTCCATCTTTCTTGGTCTGCCTCAATCACTCCGCCTAATTTTATATTTCATGGGGTGCTTAAAATCTATGAGCGTATACAATGATGTGGTTTGGTTATATTCAAGAAAACATATTTAGTGAACCATAAATAGATTGAAAAAAAATGACCAAATGTAATGTTACGCGGCATGCGCAAAAATAATATACTTATTTCTAAATAACTCATATCAAGAGGATTCTCATGGTAAATTCAAGTTTGATCACTTAAAAATGGATACGTGCAAACTCGTGTATAAATTAAATGCATACCCAATGATTTAAAGTTATATTTTTAATTTGTTTCATTTTATAATTGAACAGCCAAATAGGGCCTAGTAAAAGCAGTGTGGACGCTTGCATGTTTAAGTTTAAAAATGGTCTGTATCCTTCTTTCTAACTATAGAGTAAACTAGACGGTATTACACTTTCTATTAATTTGAGATTTTTTCTCTATCATCATCATTATCATCAGTCCCTTGACAGGGTGTGGCCGTATGGTCACTACGCAGTGGACCTGACCAGCTCCCTCTATATGTCTCGGTTAAGTACCGGTGTCTGAGTCTCTTGTAAATGATCTTCCAGGCCTCTCAGTGAGGTCGTCATGACATTTCTTCCATCTTTCTGCTTCTTTTGACTAAGGCTGGATGACAGTGCACATTTTGCTAGCTACTACAAGTATTTTCAGTGGGCCTGTCTCTTGTTAGATGGTGGCCCACACAGCGTTAATTGTGATGTAGCCTACGTTGGGAATGCCTCGGGTGGTTCTCTAGCCTCTCCTTTTTAATGCTTGAATTCTTTCACTGCAATTCAGTTGTTGATACTCAAGATTCGCTAGCGTACTCTTTGTCCATAGCTTGATGCATAACAGGTACTGCCAGTCAGGATCAAGGTGGATCTAGGAACAACAGCAATTGAAAACCTCCTGATCATAGGTCAGGGTGCTGGATGTCATACCCAGGAAGAGATTTCTAATTCTCCCAGTATTGCTTCACTGTAACGCTTGAATATGTCCAACGAGAAAACCCCACCTTTTCTGACGCCCACGTCTATTTTTGCGCATTTAATGAATTTCTTTTCTCTCCCGTGTTGGTGTTTGATTTCCAATACAAATTTCCTATTACTTTCATATCCTTCCTAAGTAAAAAAAAAGAAACTTTAGCAGTTGTAACAATTCTTTGTGTCCTACTTTGTCAAACGTTTTTACATAATCTGTTAAAGATAGGGACACGTTTTTTTGCATTTCTATGGCCCGTTTTAATATAATTCTGTCTATAAATATCACATTCTTTGTTTAAACTGGCTTTAAGGTAATGTTACTGTTCATGTCGTATTTTTCGCTGATGCTAATGGTGATTATGAAGGTAGGGCAGCTTGAAAAACTCAGTCTGATCGTTCTGATAAGAAAAGAATTCCCGAATTTGTTAGTGTGAGCCTCAGAATCAACAGGAAGGCCCACATCAGGAGACTTTGGAAGGTTGTGCTGCTCTGGAGGGTGGCTGCTGGAAGACCCTGTCTGGGAAGAGGACTCTGCACTATACCACACAAGTAGGAGAACTTAGTCATGACTGGCAATTTCTGCGACCACATCACTCCTTACATCTGGCCACCTAACTCTCCAGATTGTAACCGCCTTGATTATTATGTGTGGGCGATGTCAGGATTCGTATGAGTTTATTTGTGAGGTTTGTCAATCTGAATGTCTGATGACGTTTATATTCGCTTCAGGCAGGCCGCTCTATGAAAATGAATATAACAGGCCAGTTAATTAAAGAAAGCAAAAAAAAAAAAAATGGAAATCATTTAGTAATAGAGTAACAAAATATTTGCTGGTAGCGAGTTAGTGAATGAATAAGATGCGTGATATTAACTTAATAATTCAACTAATGTAAAGACAATGAGGACAGACAGCTATTGAACTTTGACTTGAAGCGATTCGGTTTGTAGTGTTAGTGAAACATCTCCACAAAATCGTGTTCCATAAAGAAGCACTTCTCAAAAATGATTTCTGAGTTTAAATGCAATACGAAAGGACTTAGTGTACTCCCCCACCCCTGTGAAAGCGGCATGGTGAGTCGTAGCTGTAAATCTCTGGACTGGTGAAACTAAAGATTCGACCTAATCTGAACATGTTGTGGCCTGTTAGGGGGCCATAAAGAAAGTCACGGAAAGAAGAAGTTAGGTTGAACAAGCGTATTAAATAACATAACATATATACAAAATAAGAGTATTATTAGTTAGCAGATAGAAGTGTCCGTCCGAACTGTCAGGTTACACTGCGCCTCGTCTGCCTCCTTAGGAAGTCTAGCAAGTTGGTATTTATGAAGAAAGAAAAGTTCATAGATAGGTCATTATAATATACTACACATCTACAATCCTCAGATTGACACGCAGACACACTGAAATGTCCGTATTGTTCTTGCATGTCAATCTGAAGAGAGTGCAGAGGAGGATTCGGAAAGATTTGGCTGAGTGATTACGAAGGTACAGCAGCTCGGAAATCTCACTCTGATCTTTCTGATAAGAAAATACTCCCTAATTTTTTGGTGAGGGCCTCAGAATCAACAGGGAGACCCAAGTCATGAGACTTGGGAAATTAGTGCTACTCTGGATCACGAGGGTGGCTGCTGGAAGACCCTATGTCTGGGAACAGGACTCTGCACCATGCCACACAAGTAGGAGAACTTAGTCATGATTGGCAGTTTCTGCGACCATATCACCCCTTACATCTGGCCACCTAAATCTCCAGACTGTAACCGCCTTGATTATTGTTTTGGATGCAGTTGAGCGAGAGAACCCCCACCCAAATCTCTTTGTAACCCCAAAGATAAACTGAAGGTAATGATTGTAGTAGCATTCACCAACTTAAACAAGGACAACGTTCAGATGAGTTGCAGGATATTTCGAAGTTATCTGGAGGCTGTGGTTGAAGCTAATGGCGATTTTATTGAATAAATTTACTCCATAGATATTTTTGTGTCATCCTGATAAATATAAATGTTTAAATGAGATGTCAATATTATTTTCAGTTTTACGTAATTTCAACAATTTATCGATCACACACTGTATATTGACTTTATATGATTGGATCTGAGAAGTCGAATAATTTGTTGAATGTTTCCTCATAACTATTTATAAATAATAATTATTAGAATAAAAGAAATTATGTGACAACATAATACTTATAGCGATAATTTTCCAAAGGTGCGTCTCTGTGAAAGAGGCCGGGCAATGGAAAATATGTCATCCCCTATCAGATAGTTTCAGCGATTTGAACTTTATCAAATCTGGCAAGTGAGAGTTAGGCAGATTCAGCTTAAACATGTGTGTGTGCGCGCGTGCATGTGCGTGTGTGTGTCTGTGTTCATTTGTGTATTCATATGTGCGTATTGTGTGTTTGTGTGTTCAGGCGTATGCTAGTGCGTCTCCTTTGAATAGATCCAATCACTTATAATTCAGTGTCAATCAGGAGTGTTTCGTCATATGTGGTCTCGTAGCTCATCATTACCTCATAAAATCCTCCTCAATTCCATTTACGGCAATCAGAAATCTTTCCCTTCTGCGACCTTCTGATTGTCTTCGTAATTTCAAGTCCTGATTTTACCATTTCCAAATCCAATTTCCCAATGCGTACTTTTTCCTTCTCTTTTGTTTGGTTGATTTTTATTGATATTTTTTTTCAAAATTTCTTTCTGTAGCTTGTTTTTTGCTTAGGCCTTTCTATCGTCTGTTCTGTTGAATTTTTCCCTGTCACAGTTACCATATTTGCTTCCGTTTTTTTTTGTTTTTATTTATAAATTTGGCTTATGACTATATCGCTTTGAAACACCGGCTCCTGTACGATCACCGACGTTAAAGAATACCAGATGCTATAAGCTTTTATGTGCAGGTGGTATAATAGGTAACGGCTCGGAATTGGAAATCGAAGATCCGACATCGACTTCCAGTCAGTTTCGTTACATGACATTAAGCTTTAATTCTTTTGGGATAGGTGCGAATCCATCTCCTTCCACCTAGCTATGGCTTAATAATTCGAAATTCTATCAGTAAATTATTATTATTATTATCTCGAAAAGAATTCTTAAAATCTAAGAAAATATTTTCTGGCTTTAAATAACCAGCAAAAAAGTTGATAAGCCTTTAATTAATTGATAACGTCCATTTTAATTTTTACTTCTCATGTTTTGAAACTTTCTTCTTTCTTTCAGTCTTCCTATTACCTTTTCCTTCTCTTTGTTTCTCTTTTTCCTTTCTCATTGTCTTTGTTTTTCTCTTGCTTTATCTTTCATTTTTTTACGTGTTTTACATCCTTCACTAATTTTTCTAGTTTCTTCTTCCTCTAATTCTGTTTCTTTTTCTTTCTTTCTTCGAACAAAAATATTTTCTTTTCTTTCTTACTTTCTTTTTGTTCTATCTGTGCTTTCCGTAAATTCTCTACTGAATACTACTTTTGCTTTCTTTCTTTTTTGTTTATTTGTTTCTTTCTTTCTCACTTCCGATGCATTGTCTACTGAGAACGCCATTCCTTTCTTTTTCTTTCTTTGTTGTACCTTTTCTTTCTTTCTTTCTTTTTCTATCTCTGACTTGAATGCTTTCCCTGAATTTTGTACTGAGTATGCTTTTTTCATTCTTTCTTTCATTATTTTATTTCTTTCTTTCTTTCTTTGCTTTCCGTAAATTCTGTACTGAGTACTACTTTTTCTTTTTTTCTTTTTTGTTTATTTGTTTCTTTCTTTCTCTCTTTGGATGCATTGTATTGTCTACTGAGAACACCATTTCTTTCTTTTTCTTTCTTTCTTTTTCTTTCTTCTTTCTTTCTTTTTCTTTCTTTTTCTTTCTTTTTTCTTTCTTTTTCTCTCTCTGACTTGAATGCTTTCCGTGAATTTTGTACTGAGTATGCTTTTTTCATTCTTTCTCCCTTTCTTTCTTTAATTATGTCTTTCTTTCTTCTTTCATTCTTTTTCTTTCTTTTTCTTTCTTTCTTTTTTCTTTCTTGACTTTCTTTTTCTTTCTTTCTTTCTTTTTCTCTCTTTGACTTCAATGCTTTCCGTGGATTTTGTACTGAGTATGCTTTTTTCTTTCTTTCTTTCTTAATTTTTTCTTTCTTTTTTTTCATTGCATGAATGATTAACAAGCATTCTCTTACGTTTTTGTCTTTTTGTTGAGGGGTCCTCCCCTTTTTACACAAACGGACTCACCTGGTATATGCATATACTAATGCTACGTGAAGACCCGAGAGATGAGACACAAGGAGAGTGAAAGGTTGTAGGTAACAGACAGACAGAACGAATGTAGCGAGCAAGAGTCACAGTGAGCGATTGCGTAGACCCAGTAAGATTGGCGTTTGTTATTTATTGGTACCGGGTTTCATCCCGGAATCCACAACCCTTTTTTTCTTTATTTTATTGTTTTTCATATTTCCGTATTTGTTTGTTTCCTTCTTTGTTAGTTCTTTCTTAATTTATTTCCACGCAGTCGACTGACAAACATCTTTTATGTTTTTATTCATTCCTTCTTTCCTTTTTCTTTCAAACTGACAAAAAAAAAAAAAAAACAATGAAAAAAGACTCATTAGAGAATTCATTTAAGTAATCAATTTGTTTCTTTCTTTCATTCTTTCTTTATTTCTATACATGCTAATGGGAAGACTATTTCTGTCTGTCTATTTCTTTTTCTTTCTTTCTTTCTTTCTTTCTTTATTTCTTTATGATTGCTGAAATACTTTCTATGAATTCTTGAATGCGTTTCAATTGTCTTTCTTTTTTCCTTCTTCCGTTCATTATTTTGTCGCTTTCTTTCTTTCCTTCTTTATGCCTTTGTTTTTTTCTTTCTTTCCATACATTGTCTACTGAGAACGACATTTCTGTCTATCAGTCCATCTTTCTTTTATGCTTGAATAAATTCTGCAATAATTTTGCTCTTTTTTCTTTCTTTCTTTCTTTCTTTCTTTCTTTCTTGCCTTGTCTATTGAGAACGCTTTTTCTTTTTTCTTTCATCCATTCATTCATTCATTTTTTTCTTTCTTCCTATGCTTTGCCTATTGAGAACACGTTTTCTTTCTTTCTTTCTTTCTTTCTTTCTTTCTTTCTTTCTTTCTATTCCTTGCCTATTGAGAACGCTTATTCTTTCTTTTTCTTTCTTTTTCTTTCTGTCTTTCTTTCTTTTTCTATCTTTCTATCTGTTTTCTCTGTCTTGTCTATTGAGAACGCTTTTTCTTTCTTTTCTTTTTTTTTCTTTTTGTACTTTCTTCCTATGCCTTACCTATTGAGAACGCTTTTTCTTTCTTTTTCTTTTTCTTTCTTTCTTTCTTTTTTTTTCCTAGCTTTCTTTCTTCCTATGCCTTGCCTATTGAGAACGCTTTTTTCTTTCTTTTTCTTTCTTTCTTTCATTCTTCCTATACCTTGTTTATTGAGAAGGCTTTTTCTTTCTTTTTTCTATCTTTCTTTATTGTTAGCTCGCATACTTTTCATGAATTCTCTATTGAGTATGTCTTTTCTTTCGTTTTTTATTTCAATTTTGATTGTCATTTCTCCGTATATTCTTTCTTTTGTGCTTGTAGTTGTGTGTACCTCTGTGTGCGATTGTCCTTTATCTCTGCTCTTAACTTCATGTCCAGTCCCTCTCTTTCTTACTATCTGCAAAATATTTCCCCTTCTTTCAACCTCTCCGTTTTTTTAAACGACGTTTTAACCCCTCATCTCCCGATGTAAAGTAATCATGCAAGCCTTACCATCTTCCCGTTACTTTTTCTTTTTACCTAACTCTTGGTTGCCATGCTAACAAATAGGTCCAGCCAATCGCAATGATTTACTGTCCACCTCAACCGCCCCGTCGTGTCTGGTCATAAAATTCTCTTTTACTTCTCTCAAAGAAGTCTCCACAGTCTTTAACGGAAGTCGTTAAACTCGTGGACTCCATCCAACCATCCGGTCCACCCGGTTCGCCTCACGTCTCTCTTCGTCATTTTCGTCGTTAATTTCCACCTGACCTACACAGAACAGGAGGCCCCGCTGAGGTCGGCCATACGTGATAGTACGATTTGCTTGGCTGGTGGGAAAGGAAAATAGACTTAGTTATTTTTTCGATGTCTGACGTTCGATTTTGGTTAACGCTCCTGTGGGGGTCTGGCCCTGACGGGTAAAACTTCATTGGTTAAATACAAGTAGCAAAAGGATTTCGCATAATGATACCAAAAGTAAAAGACTTACGTTTCGGATCATTGGGCTGCTATAAAACTGATAGTTTTTCTCGTTTTCTCCTTCAGTCAGGCCAAATGGAAATAGAACGAGATTTCGAAGGCGTTGTTAAATAGAGGGGTGCAAACAAAGTTACTAATACAGTAACTCCATCTTTCTTTGGCATATTTTGTTACAACCTTTCGACCGCAATCTCGTGCGGACTTTGTTATCTTTCTCATTCAGTATACTTCCAGAATTTTCGATTGTTAAAGATTTTATTTATTCGCACGTTTCTTCTCCTTTCGTCAATCTAATTCTTACATATTATGTTCCTTCGATGTAAATTCAGAAATCGTAACCATCACGTCTGTATGATGATCAATTAAAAAAGTTGTGGAAACTGGTTCCATTTAATCATTGCATAAAAGAGAAATATCCTCATCTCATGTTTATAGAGCTAATAAAATATATAATTAAAAGGGAAGCTAAAAAAGTTCTTTTCTTTGAACATCTCTTAGGACCCAAGACCACAAATTTCGAAAGATGATGTTAACAACTGTCAGTTCCTTTACCATTCCATAAAGTGCCGAACTCGTCTTATCACGCTCTTACCATCATTAAAAGAGTTAGATAAGACCGGAAATAAAGAATTCCTGCATTATCTAGTCTGGAGATGCCCAATCATCACTTTCAAACTATGCTCACAGTCACATCACTTTGAAAAACCGGCTCCCGTACGATTATCGATGTTAAGTACCATCAAGTCTGGTCAGTAACTAGATGAGTGACCGTTTTGGAATACCAGCAGCCGTAATCTATCGTGTGCGGGTGGTGTTATGGATAACGGCTCGGAATTGTTAATCGGAGAGCCTGAATCCAAATCCATTTGGGTTCGTTATATGTATTTACTCACAAATACCCTTTGGAAAGGTATGAATGTACTTATTCTCCCCCAGCTATGGGTTAATTAGTAAGACCTGTATAACTAGACATTTTTATGTCCAAAAAAGAAAATAACATTGCATACAAAATATTGTGATTTCTGAACTGAGGTTGATATGCCGCTCAGCAAAAACAAGCAGCCAGCCAAATTTCCAGCTTTGAAAAAAAGCTCAAAGTCATTTATTGTTGTAGGCATACCTACGAAAGATAATGGGTATGCATCCATTCCCATAAATACAGTAGAGAATACTCTACGTGGTCTAAAGTTCGTCTCCAGCTGTGCTGGTCACACTCTCGCCTCCGGGTAAAGAGGATCCCTAGACAAGGCTACGTCGTAGAACAGTGTCTCGTCTCGGGAAACTGTTACACGACCTCATTTTATACGTGGTCTACGGGGAATTTTTGGCCGATCCTACGGGCTAGGATACCTCACATTAATTTCGGCGTTGTGCGACCTGTGACCGCGTGAGGCGCTTGGTAGATATGATAGAGTTGGAAATTCTTCTCCAGCTGTTCTGGTCAAACTCTCTGCCTCCAGTTGAGAGGATCTCCAGACAAGGCTATGTCGCAGGGCAGTGTCTCGTCTCGGAAAACAGCAACTCGACCCCGTTTTATACGTGGTCTATGGGGAATTTTTGGTCAAGTCTACACGCTCGGATACCCCACATTAATGTTAGCCTTGTAACACATGTAACCTCGTGGGGCGGTAGGTAGATATCCTAGAGTTGGTGATTCATTGTGGAATTCATTTGACTCACTTCTAGAAGTTTACTATTCTTCTTCTCATGCCGCTGGCAAATCTTATATGTGTTGCTCTTGTCCTAAGTATTATCGTTCATTATCAACATTTGTTTGATTATTCTATTCAATAACCTTCCCTAGGTTACAACATTTTGACGACGAGGGTGAGATAAAATTATAATATTTACGTTGCTTATGGGCGATTAATTATTTTCAACTCTACAACTTCTTTGTCACAGACAAAACCTAGCAAGCCTTTCGCCACTCTTTCGCTATTTACATGAGAAATATTCAGATGATCTGCATTTTGAATATCTACCACTAGGACAAGCCATGCCAATTAAACAAATTCGACACTTCTTTATTCCCTTCGTGTTCCCTTCATATGACAAGGAGAATGTTCTATTTGGAGAGATTATTCCCAAGAGTTCCAACTTTGTGGAACTGACTTCTGAGAGGGCAGCGGGGGTCCCGTACGGGTAGAGTATCTTAACCTATTCAAATCTAGAGACAGCCGTTAACGTCTCTATCTATCGTCATAATCTTCACTTGGTAACTCCATTTACGTCTATAAAAAAGGCTAATTCAGTTAGCAACTAACTTAAATGGCACTTGAGTCTCGTATTGCGTGAACAAGAGTAAAAGAAAAGAAGACAAGTAAAAAGAAAAATAAATGTCGAGAGAGAAAAAATGGTTTCGGATTAGTTGGTCAAATGTTTAAGACTTGGTCAGAATGTCCTAAAGGCTCTCTTGTGTCTATACGAACCTAAAGTAATTATTTGACTAATCTCAAATCTTAATTTTATGCGTCGTGTCACTTAAAGACATGGCCGATCATTGTTTGCCATTATTTTTTTGTTACTTCGAAGCAGCGTTTGACCATTTACTATCTATCACTTCTCATATTCTACCATATATATGTCCAGGCCAGTTACTCACTGCTTTCATCTAATCACTTTGCCTTCGAAGTGACAAAAAATAATGGCGAACAATGATCGGCCATGTCTTTAAGTGTCACGGCACATAAAATTAAGATTTGAGATTTGTCAAATAATTACTTTAAGTTCGTATAGACACAAGAGAGCCTTTAGAACATTCTGACCAAGTCTTAAACATTTGACCCTTTACTATCTATC